GGATCGTAATGTAAATGTCTGATATGCAGGATGTATTTAGGCGACCCCTGTGAAAGGGTCGTTCGACCACCAAAGGGGTCGCGACCCACAGGTTGAGAACCGCTGCTCTGGACTACGATTATGTTGACTATTAAAACGTTTGATGTTGGGCACTGAAGTTCATTTAAAGACATTTCACAGGGGCCTTTCTAATGTTCTTTCCTCTTGAGCTATTATATTTCCCCTACATTTATACTTGACAAGTTGAAATTATGACTCCAAATGATGTACAACCAGTTTCCCATTCAAATATTGCTGCTCAGATGTCCAGAATAAATTATCACCATACTATCTTCACACTGAATAATGCTAATGCATCACTGATGCTCCCGGGCTAAGATTCCCTCTCATATTGACACCAACGGGCTTCTGGTTAAAACAGCAGCAATTCCTGCCCTAGCTGGTTTGGCTCAGTGGATAGAGCATCAGCCTGCGGGACTGAAGGGTCCCAGGTTCGATTTCAGTCAAGGGCACATGCCTGGGTTGTGGGCTCAATCCCCAGTAGGGGGGGTGCAGGAGGCGGCCAATCAATTATTCTCTCTCACCATTGATGTTTCTCTTTCTCTTCCTCTCTGAAATCAACAAAAATATATTTAAAACACATACACACAAAAACAAGAGCAATTCCAGAAGGAAACCCTTTAGAAGTGATTTTGCTCCAAAGAGCAAAGTCTCAACTGAGGAATTTGTCCACTTTTTTAAGTAATTACTCTTCAAAAGCAAAGGTTGCTCAATTGCCTGGGTTATTTTGTCAAAACAGTGTAACAGACATCATTTGATGATTCATTCTGCCAACCGCCCACAGCTGGCCTGGGAGCTGGGACTAGTTCTCAGCACTTCAAAGCAGTGCTCAGGACCAGTGTTTAAATGATTATTTCTAAGCCATCCAATGGACTGACACTTGTGAAATGCAATAAAATGTATTAGGAAAATGAATTTTTAAAAGGCATATTACTTTTAATTATTAAATCCAATGCTGTCAAATTACTCTCCAAGTTTCTAAACCTTTCTTCATTTCCATCCTTAACTCACTAAGGACAGTAACAAACATTCTGTGGCCAGCACTTGGAGCAGCATCCCTCTACAGTATATGAAGAGGCAGTGAGTGGTCCAGTAGCAAGTCCATGTCAGACCCCAGCATTTAGCACAGAGAAGGGTCCCTAAAATCCCCTACCAATCAAATCTCACTTTCCCTCAATCAAGTAGCTTCAAAAAAGATTTCCATAGTCAGGGGTTAGAAGCCTTTGGTTTTTCAAAATCGAATTTCTAAGCAAATAGTTCATAACCAGGGATTTAAAAAAAATTCAGAGGAGCTTTTTCAAACTACATATCCCTTCCCCACTCACCCTCCCCCTTCCCCTTAAAAATACTGTAGTGATGACCATTTAGTCAAGGCTCATCTATAATGAAATACCCTGGGGAAACCCATCTATCAGACGTAGGCAGTCACTGAGTAGCTATCATATGCCAGGAGCTGTCTGAGACGCTTCCACTTTCCACATAGCATTGCTCACCAACCCTATGAGTTAGATATTATCTCTAATTTATTTAACGTGGAAACTAAGCTCCTGAAAAGCCAGGTGACATGCCAGGTTCACTGAGAAGAATTTGCTGAGATCACAACCCAGGTCTGTGTGTCTTCATTATGCTCATGTTGCCACCAATATCATTTCCATTTTTTAAGTTCTGTTAAATATTGTAAGACCGTCTGTGGAAATGGCCTATAATCTGTACTGCGTGGTGCCTCGGGAGTCAGGTGGCTTGGATTTGAATCCCAGTTCTGCCACCTCCAAGCTGGTAACTGTGGGCAAGTTGTTCAACCTCTCTGTTCTTATCTGTCAAATGGAGATACTACTGCACCGACCTCCTGGGCTTGTTCCAAGGGCTAAGTCGATACATATAGAGCAGAGTGCTGGGCACACACAGGAACCCACACAAACATCAGTGCTGTCATCGGAGTTCTCCCCTAGAACCTGCTCTTTCTATCGCTCCCTATGTCAGACACAAATGTGAATCATTCTCAGTTCTTCCCTGTTCACATTTCCAACCAGCTGGCCAGTACTATCAACTCGCCCTTCTATTTCAGTGGATCAGTGTCTCAATTTCCACTGCCACCGTCCTAGTTCAGGCTGCCACTCTTGCCTCTAGACATGTCTCCTCCAGTCTATTTTCCAGTGTAGCAAGAGTGATTTCTCTCAACAACGTATCTGATCATGTTATTCCCACTTTAAGCTTCTCTCAGCTGAAGCCCAGTGCCTCAGGATAAAGTAAAAATGACCTGCACCTTGATTTACAAGGCCATGACCTTCCACTTACTTCTCCAGTATGTGTATGTGTATGTATGTATAAGTGTGTACATACATATATATGATTTTTAAACCTATAAGCTCTTCAAGCTACAGCAGTACTGAGGGTTTCTCAGTTCCCTGAGTGAGCCATGCTTGCTCCCACAAAGGCCTTCTATTTGGTGCTCCTTCTGACTGGCTAACACAACACATTCTTCTAGTTTTAGGCAAGACTCCCTCCTCAGCCACCCTGCCCCTTATCCCTACTCCAAACACCACATGATACTATTACCGTGCCCTAGGGCTTGACACACTGAACTGCACTTCACTCACCTGCCTCCCTGCTCTTAATTGCGTCTTACATCCCTGCTGTATCCTCAAGGGCCCAGGACAGTGCTGTGCACAGAGCTGCACAACAAGCGTGCTCACAGAGTGACATTGCACCCAACTTTTATCTCATAAATCAGCCAATAGCCGGGGAAAAGGGGGCGGGGGGCTATCAAAGCAGTGAAATTAGCTTCAGAGCTTCAACGTCAAAAGAGAATCAACAGATGGAGATGCACAGCGGTAAATGCTTAGAAAAGGCTCTCAAATGTGCCAGGCACGGAAAACAGGCTTCTGGCTGGCCTCCCTGTAGGGGGGCATCAGGAAGATGTCCTGCCTCTTCACTGCACCTCTCTGCCCAGCTGGCCGCCACCCTGCCAGATGCTGCCGGGCTCACCACTGCTGAGTCACAGCACAACCCTACCAAGGGGGGGCCGCAGGAGCCAAGCCCTCAGTGGTCTTCCTTCTAACCAGCCCAGTGAGAGCTGAATTCAGATTAAAACATTAGACACACAGATGTAAACTGGGAAGTTATCTTTTCATCCACATTGGAGATGATTGTGGTAGCTTTTAAGCCTCTTAGACTGGCATCAAGAATTTAAATATACTCATTGTTGTGAGTTGAATTAAGCCCCCCAGAAGGATATGTTCAAGTCTGAGGCCCCAGCAACTGTAAATGTGACTTTATTTGGAAATGGGGTCTTTGTAATCAAGTTAAGATGAGGTCACGGTAGATTAGAGTGGGCTCTAACCCAATGACTGATGCCCTTACGATAAAAGGAAATCTGGACACAGACACATACGAGATAAGGCCATGTGAAGGCAGAGGCAGAAACCGGAGTGATGCACCTATAAGTAAAGGGACACCAAGGACTGCCAGCAGCCATGGGAAGAGCAAGAGGATTCTTCCCTAGAGCGTCTGGGGAGCGTGGCCCTGCTGACACCGTGAGGCGGACTTCCAGCCTCCAGAGCTCTGAGAGAAAACCTTTGTTTTAAGCCACCCAGTTTGTGCTACTCTGTTAAGGCAGCCCTAGGACATTAACATACTCGCTAAAAGTTATGCGTTAGGGGGGAAAAAGTTAATTGGCTCCTCCCCTAGGCAGACAGTGACAGTCTTATTCATTACACTGAATAAAATATATTATCACAGCGCATTGTTTAAGAGCATTAATCTAGACAATTTTCAATTTTTATTTTTGAAGCTTAGGTTGAGTTCATAAGACAGTAGTTCTCTATGATGCTACTGAACATGTTAAGTACTGGCCAGTACTATCAACTCGCCCTTCTCTCAGCCTTTAAGCTGAGAGAAGCTTAAAGAGTTGATAGTACTGGCATCACTGAACATGTTGAACTTTCATGCTACTATCCGAGCCAGGTGCAGAATAAGGTAGAGGAGGACACTATCCCTAACACGGCAAAGCAAAAGAACCAAAATATTTTCCCAGGCCTTGAAGCTGACATTTCATACTCAGTAAAGAGTTCAGTTGTACAAGGGCAATGAAGAACAGAGACCACCAGTTAGCAGGCTGCTGAACGAAATCTGGCAGGAGTGTGTGTGCATGTGTGCGTGTGTGCGTGTGTGCGTGTGCATGTGTGCGTGTGTGCATGTGTGCGTGTGTGCGTGTGTGCACAGGCACAACGTACACTATGGAAACCACTGACTGGTGGCCAGACAACAGTTGTAATTTCAATTCCATACTTAAGCTGGTATGAGATACCTCTTCCCAATCTTCATCAACTTCTTCAACATAGACACATTTTGGGTTTACAATTTGTAGTTAACAGTAAGCATCACAACATTCAACTCCACAATAATCACTGACAAACATGAAGAAAACTAACACCCAGAGGCCCAGAATGGTCAATTTCCAATTCTATTATCATGTGCCTGATCTTTTAAAATCATCATTTTCAAATCTCATTCTCTAATATCCAAAGCTAAAGAGGCACCCATTATCATTTATTCTCAAGGTGCATCCAAGATACCAAGTATTTAAGCTGTTTCTGGGTATGAATGGCATTATTAACTGCCATAAAAATAATTTAGAAGACATGACAAATAAAAGATTTAAGGCACATCTCTATAAATCACTCTATGGCTTTTACCAATTAATAACATGGCAGTACTATCCAGTTCACACCAGGAACAAGAACCGTCTGAAAGAGGAAAATGTGGGTTCTAGAGACAAGGTCTTGTTTTGAGGTATTCTCACTCATTCATGAGCTGCAAGGAGATATAGAAGCAGCTCGATACAGCAGGAAGAACACTAGCTCCAGAATGCTAGATGTGCCGCTTGTAAGCCAGATTGTGTGTGCATTTTAGGCAGAGCCATGAAAGTGCAGGTGACCCACCTCTGCGCAGACGGGGTGGATCCCAATGGTGCTGTCCAGCTGCTGCTTGGTCAGTCCACACTTGAGCGCGGCTGCAAAGCCTTGTGTAACTTCTCCAGCGTTTGGACCCAGTATGTGGAAGCCCACAACACGTTCCTAAAATATAAAACAAAGTAATACAATTATGCTGATTTCCCACCCACCCCTTAGCAGCCTGAAGTATTTTCCCAGTCCATCCTAAAAACCCCATTCAGAAGTGGCCATAAACTTATATTAATGCTTGCTGCTAAAAGCTGTTTAGGCTGAAGGTAACTCCAACATGGGCCCATATAGAGTGTGGGGTCACATCAAGCAAGAAGGCAGAGAAGAGCACTAGCGACAAATGACGAGGGAAATCACTGAAAGCAGAACTGCCTGCAACTCCAAAAGCTCAAAATGTTCTGGAAAATGTTTTCAAAGGGCAGTTGTGTCCTCATCTCCTCTATGGGCTGTCTCAAAGCCCCAGATAACCTATCTGTGACAGCTGAAACATTTCAGAGCACTCATTCAAGTTAAAATCATTTTAACTCAGGTTTTGGGGATAGATAGCATTTTTTAAAAACAATAGAAAAATGTTTGACAACTCTGAAATAACTGTGTAGGAATTATTTTGGATAGATTCTTTATCCCAAACTCAGGAGAAACTCTGCCAAGAGGAGAAAATTTGATTCACTCCATTGTTCAGACTTTGAGAGCCAACTCTGACTGAGATAGACTGTCTAGTCCAATCTCCTCATAACCGACGAGGCAACTCAGGCTGTGGGGTGCTCAGCCTAAGGCTCAATCACTCTATGGAAAGCAATCAAGAAGTCATTCTGTTGCCAAAGTACTGTAATATATTCCATGTTGGACTTACATCATTCATCCTGACAATCAGGGGTTCAGCATATGGATAAACAAAGCACAAAATACACTAGGTCTTAAAATACACTAGAAATAATGTAGTAACATGGATAGATCTCAAAAAGTGAGATTAAAAACAAGTTGCAGGCTCTAATTAGCTAAGGATACCACCAAATCAAACCACAATCTATAATGTTTACAGATATATCAGAGGTGGCAAACATATGAACAGGTGAGACACTCCAACTTCAAGACTGCTGCCTGTGGGGTAGGGAAGAAATGAGGGGTACAGGATCAAGGACTACAAAAGGCATGGGATAATGGTTAATAACATGGAATCGACCTTGCCTGGGACTGAATTCCAGCCCTTCCATTAGCTACTACATGCCCTGGCACAATTACTTAACTTCTATCTAATGTATGCTCACACAAATAACCTTTTCATTAAACTTGTCTGAAAAGAAAAAACTGTACCTAAAATTGTTTTCGATGCCAACTGTGTAGAGTTTGTTATGGTTATCCTAGTATATTCACTTATTAAATGCATCTATGATGATGTCTTTTTGCACAGGATCCAGGTTTTCCTAGAACCCTGGGTTCTGCAAAAAGCAATCTGCTACTGTGCTACTGTCGAGAGCAGTAACTTCTAAACAGGATATATAGCTTCATTATATTCAATCCCACATAAGAAAATTATGAGTTTATTAGGCTTTTAATATATGGTTTCTTTAGCATCATTTGTATTTTTTCTTAAAGTAAGAGCCTAGCTAAGTTAAAAATAATAGTTCTCATAAGATTTAATTCACAATACTTATAGAGTATGTGCACAACAAACATGTGTCCTGGGCTACAATATAAAGTGGGGGGAGCAGTCAGAAAAGTTTGAAAACCAATGACTATTCACTCGCTTTGTACGTATGGAGACAAACTGTGAGGTCAAAGAATTTGCCCACTGGCCTTCATTATCAACTGACACATGTAGCCTTAAATCAGATGATAATGAAACCTTAAATCAGAACCCAATTAAGAGGTCTTCCCATTACCGCTTTCTCATTCGGGACAGCTGCTTAGGATATAAACTTGCAGTACTCCTGTTCTTTTCTTTTTGCCATTTTTAGGTCATTGATGACTTAACTGGTTTCCTTTCATACACACAAACACAAAGAGTTCTCAAGTTGTCCCTATGGCTCCTTCACTCAGCAAGTTTAGCTGCCTTCCTCCTATGTGTAGGGCTCTGTGCCGGTGAAGCTGGGGGGAGAGCACTGTGTCACCATGGTCCTTGCTCTCAGAGGTCTATGCAGCTGGGGAGACCGACAGGTAAAACAGGAAAGGAGTGTAGTGTGTACCATGTGATCAAAATATAGCTACATATTAAAAACAAAATGAAATTAGCTGAAAGGATTAAACGAGAATTGTACTTACACTGTCTTTCATATTACAGACTATTTTTGCGTAGCACTTGTTGCTATCTCTTGATGGAACCGTCCATTCCAATGGCCAAAAGTAACTATGGTAAACCTAAGAAGATATAAGCACAATTAGACTCATCATCTTAGGAAGCATGTTTGTCAAACACTAGCTCTGGTACAAAGACAATGGAGGCTCTTTAGTATTTAGACTTTCACTAAGCAATAGAATTCATATAGACACAGACTCAGAGAGGATGGTTTCCAGAGGGGAGGAGGGTTAGGGGACTGGGTAAAAAAATTGAAGGGATTGAGAAATACAGATTGGTAGTTACAAAATAGTCAGAGATGTCAAAGTTCAGCATAGAAAATATAGTCAATAATATTCTAATAACTATGCATGGTGCTAGGTGGGTACTAGACTGATGGGGGGGGATCACTTTATAAATTACACTAGAGTCCTGGTGCACGAATTCATGCACCAGTGGGGTCTCTCAGCCAGGCCTGCAGGATCGGGCCCTAACCTGCTCTCCGACATCCCCCAAGGGGTCCCGGATTGCGAGAGGGTGCAGGCCAGACCAAGGGACCCCACTGGTGCACGATCGGGGCCAGGGAGAGACATGGGAGGTTGGCCAGCCATGGGAGGGACTGCGGGAGGGCTCCAGGGCATGTCCAGCCCATCTCACTCAGTCCTGATCAGCTGGACTCCAGCAGCAAGCTCACCTACCAGCTGGAGCGTCTCCCCGCTGGTGGTCAGTGCACATTATAGCAACTGGTCGACTGGTCAACTTTCTGCCCCCTGGTGGTCAGTGCACATCATAGCAAGCAGTTGAGCGGCCTTAGCATATCATTAGCATATTACGCTTTGATTGGTTGAATAGTTGACCAGAAGACCGGACACTTAGCATATTAGGCTTTTATTATATAGGATAACTAACCACTATGCTGTACATCTGAAACTAATATAAAATAAGATTGAATGTTAACTGCAATTGAAAAATCAAAGTTAAGTCGGCTCGCATGAATTGCGCGTACTCCGCGGGAGCCGTCTTTAACTCGGTTCATATAGATTTGCGGTGGAGTGCGGGAAACGTGTAAACTCGGGCCGATTGTAACTGCGTATTACCAAATATGTGTTTGTAATCCACCCTTTTGGTGGATGGAACAAAACCAAAAGACAGAGCCATCTTATATTTTGGCGGGAAATTCACCCGCACTCCAAGTGTTAAGAAAACATATACAAAATACCTCCCAAAAAATTCATGAAATAAATAGGAACTGGTCAGAAAGTAAATGACTTTAAAAGTCCTGTTGTCAGATCCTTTTGCTATAAGCTCATCCCTTAATTACAACTCAGGCTAAAGAGTAAACATTAAGTCATAATAACAACAAAGAGCCAGCAAATGAGAGAAAGAAGCCATGTCATTACATGCTGTCTTGCATTAACATACGAATTAAAAAAAAAAAAAAAACACAAAAAAAACCTCTATTTTGTTACCTGAGAGGAAGGACAACTTTGGGCATGAAACAAGTCAAGTGCCAGCAACAATTATAGCAATTATCAAGTTTTCTTGCTTAATGCTTCCAAAGAGATTCCCTCCATTGACATTATTCACCAGGAGTATCGAAGGGAAGCAGAGGAGGGAGGGAAGGTAGGCAAATGGAAGGACACAGACATTCTTACTGATGTTTCATAAACTTAAGTCCTGGATGACTAAAGGGATTTATTTTCTCCTCTAACTGCTAGCTTCAATTCGAAACATATGGTTAGCTATCTTTTAAAAACATACTGATCTTGTAGACATTATAAGTGTTCTTTTATATTATAAAAATGATGTAAATTTTTCTTAAAATATGGGTTACCAAATTGAATGTATATCATAGTATGATAACAATTATATAGGAAAAAGATGATTAAAGGAATTTTACCCAATTGCTAATAATTACTGTTACCAAAAAAGAGTAACTGTTTCCTATTTCCTTTACATGTTCCAAAATTTCAACACAAATGCATTATTCATATAGTAAAAAATGCAAATTCTAATAAAACAAAATCCAAAGATGGTCTTTCAAGAAATATGCAATGTATATTAAGAACCTTAAAATTTAAAAACCTCTTGATAGAAATCTATTCTCAGAAAATAATCAGAGAAACAGACAGTGAACAATGAAGAGGTTCATCATTCTATTAATAGTAAAAAACTGTAAACAGGTTTTCACTATAAAGAATGGCACAACAAATTATTGTATAGCATCCCTAAAAAGAATTACACAAGTCATTTTAAAAATGATGTTTTTAGGGGGAAATGCTCATGATCTACTATTATTGTAAAGTAGGCCAGAATATGCACATAACTTAATCACACTTTTTAAAAAATTAAGATATAGCCCTAGCCGGTTTGGCTCAGTGGATAGAGCGTCAGCCTGTGGACTCAAGGGTCCCAGGTTTGATTCCGGTCAAGGGCATGTACCTTGGTTGCGGGCACATCCCCAGTAGGGGGTGTGCAGGAGGCAGCTGATGGATGTTTCTCATGGATGTTTCTAACTCTCTATCCCTCTCCCTTCCTCTCTGTAAAAAATCAATAAAATATATTTTAAAAAAAGTAAGATATATGTACCCACACAAAATTATACATGCATTCAATATATAAAAACATACATAAATACTTAGAGACTAGAATATGCCGAAATATTAACAGCAGTTACTACTTCATGAATTAAAATTTCCTTTTTTATGTTTTCGAGCTTCCTATAACAAGGATACACTATGTTTAGAATCAGAAAAAAGTTAATATTACTCCTAGACCAAGATATTACATGCTATTACTAATGCACATAATAAAGAAAAAGATTGGTAAGAGATTTAAAATAAATTCACATCCTGAAACTTACTCTGGTCTTTTAGAAGGTTTTACTAAAAACTTTTCCTCAAATGATTTAAAAAGCAGCAGTCACTTTGTGTAGCATTATTTGTGTATATGAAAATAGCGCACTTCATGTGCATTTTCCTTGACTATATGATAAAAGTTAGTGTAAATTAGAGGATAACAGCAGAGGGACAAAACCTAATAGAACAGCAGAAATTAAGTTAATTTTTAATGTTTTTCTTTGTATTTTCCTATATTTTTCCTATTTCCAACAATGTTGTTTTAATAATAAAAAGAAACCAGTAAAATTGGTTTTAAAAAGTAGAAGCAAGTATTATTGGATCAACTGATGAAACTGAAAAATAGAAGGTAGATCACATAAAAGTATCTATCTATATATATAAAAGCCTAGCAAACAACCAGTCGCTATGATGCGTACTGACCACCAGGGGACAGATGCTCAACGCAGGAGCTGCCCCCAGCCTGCAGGCCCCGATTGCCTGATCAGAGCCAGACCCCTGGGCTGGGACGGGGAACCGGGGGTGGGTGGCAGCGGATGTGGGTGGTGAGGGAAGGAGAGGGGAAGGCAGGAAGGCAGGGAACCTGACCAGCCCTGATCGCCAGCGAGGACTAGGGACCACACCATGTACGAGTTTGTGCACCAGGCCTCTAGGTGTATCAATATTAAGTTTCCTAAATGTGATAACTACCCTGTGATTTTATAAGAAAATGCTTATTCATAGGAACTATATACTGAAATGTTTAGGAGAAAAGAGGCATTCTACTTACTCACAAATGGTTCAGGAAAGAAAATACACACAGATACACAGAAATAGAGAAAGAGAGACTATGTGACATAAAAAACAAATATTAATAGTATGTGGATCTGGATAATTGTACAAAAATTCTTTGTACAATTTTCCTACTTTTCTGTATGCTTGAAATTATTTTTAATTTCGAAAGCAGTAGAGTAGAACTTACCTCAATATTTTCTTCCCCAAATTTTTCCACAGCTTTTTCTTCAGAAAGACCACAAGCACCATATTCCAAAGGAGTAAATACAGTTGTTGGAACATTTTCATAGTCACACTATTTCAAAATGGAGAAGAGTTACAAGAGAAGTTATAACTCAAAAAAAGGGTATGCTTCAAAAAGGTTCAAAATTAGGGGAGAAAAGCAGACTAATAAATTTCTACCAAAAATATGGGAAGTCACAACAATCCCAGGTATAAACCTACCACATGAGAACCATGAACCGATGTCATGAAGTTTTGGCAGAGGTTTAATGTCTGGCAAGACTAGTCATGAATAAATGATTCATGGATGTTAACAGCAAGGACATACTTCCTCTACCTTTAATAAAGCAGCCCAAAACAATACAAGTGTACTCAAAGCTGATGGTCTCATTATCGGTGACAGAAACTAATAGACTTCTATGGGAAATTAATTAGGCAATACATATTAAGAGTCATAAAAATATTTTATACCTTTTGGCCCAATAAACCTATTCTTAGACATCTATAATAACATACAGAAACAGCTGCGTGCATTAACTGAGCAATGCTGTAGCTCTCTTCAATAGTGGCAATATGGAGCAGCTTTAAAGTGCAAATAAGGAAGTAGTTCTATAGTACATACACTCCATGTAACAATATGCAGCAATTAAAGTGAAATGAAAACTAGAGAAACAAAAAAAGTTAAGGATTCTATTTCCAAAGCACATTTTATGATAATAGACATAGATGACAAATGGATTCTGAAGTCAAAGAAGTTGTAAAATGCTGTATTAAGCAAATAAATGTTTCTCAATTACCAAATATTTGTCTTTAATATGCTGATGTGAATTGTGAAAACTGTTATTATATAAATGCAAAATGTTTGTAAATGCTATTTGATGAAAACCTACCCAGTCACATTTATTTTTCTCTAAGAAGAACATAAACCTTTGGAATTCTGATTCAACAGTAAAGGCAGATCTCCACTGACAGCCACAATAGTGTACCCGGGACCAGACCTACCTCCCTGCTTTACACAACTAGAAAACCAAACAGATATGAAGCAACACTGTTTAAACATCTGGCAGCAGCTGCAGGGCAGAGCCCTGAAGCCAGTAGAGCTGGACAAGAACTCCTGGGATCTGGGCTGAGTACTGATCTGTAAACGCCTCAGAGGAAAGAACCACTGGAAAGCAGTAGGCTCCAAAATGACCAGAGCTCCAATAGGACTGGAAATAGTTCCTGTTCCCATAGTCAAAGCAGAAAGAATTCATCATGTGAGAGAAATGGGGTTAATTGATGCCCAAAGGCATCAATTTAATGGTTGAAACTAAGCCCTAGGTGAAAGGTTGCTGTAGCCGAACCCTAAAAAAGCTTAAAAGCAAGTTACAAAAGAGATAAAACTAACCCTATGTAACTTAACGAACTGTCAGAACAAATCTTAACACTGTATAAAAGAACTCAACAAAACCCAGCACTGAACAATGTAAAATATACAGTATCTGCATCCACCCAACAGTATCTGGACATGCAAAAGAGCAGGAACATGTGAACCAATACCACGAGAAAAATCAACCAACAGAAACAAACACTGAACAAAAGATGATGGAATTAGCAGAGGACATTAAAAGAACTATTATAAATATGTTCTGTCTATTCAACCAGGTAAAGGAAACCATCAACCTGCTGAGGAGAAAAAAAGACTATTTGAACTGCAAACCACACAGATTGGGATTAATAGCCCAAGAGAGTGCAGAAGAAAAAAAATCAGTGAACTTGAAGACACGGCAATAGGTTTTCTAAGAAAATGGAGCACTGAGATGGGGTCGGGGTGGGGAGGAAATGGACACAGGAGCAGAGCATCAGCGATCATGGGATAATATCAAGTGAACCAATATTCATTAATTGGAGTCTAAGGGAAAACAAAAAAGGGGGTAGACAGAAAAAAATAATTGAAGCCCTGGCCAGTTGCTCAGTGGTTAAGAGCATCAGCCTGTGGACTGAAGGGTCTGGGGTTAGATTCCAAGTCAAGGGCATATACCTCGGTTGCAGGTTCCCCATCCCCAGTCACCATGTGTAGGAGGCAACCAATGGATCAATGTGTCTCTCTCACTTCAATGTTTCTCTCCTCCCTTCTACCCTCTGTAGAAATCAATGGAAAAAAATATCCTCTGGTGAGGATTAAAAAAATAATAATAAAAAGATAATGAATGGCTGAAAATTTTCCAAATTTGGTGAAAACTATAAACAGATAAATCCAAGAATCTCGGACACATCACAAGCAGAATAGTTATAAAGAAAAGCATGGCAAGGCATGCAATATTCAAACTGCTAAAAAAAAATGACAAAAAGAAAATCTTAAGAGGAACAAACATAGAAATGATAGTGCATTTCTCTTTAGAATCTCTGCAGCCACAAGACAATGGAAAAATCATTAAAATATTTAAAGAAACACTGTAAATCTAGAACTCTATATTCAGTAAAAATACCTTCCAGAAAATGAATGCAAAATAAAACATTTTTTTCAGCCTTGGGGAGCCCTCTTCTCCCCGCCCCATTCCAAGTTTGTATCTTACTTAGGTGTTCTCTCTCAGTGCTAGTGTTTCCTTCCTCACTTCTTCCTTCCTTCCTTCTCTCCCTCCCTCCCTCCTTCTCTTTTTTTAACATTTGAAATAGAATTCTCGTACCATAAAATTCACTTTTCAAAGTTTACAATTCAGTGGTTTTCAGTAGTCACAAAATATGCAACTAGTACCACAATCTAATCCAGAAGATTTTATCACCAGAAAAAGAAATGTTATACCCATTAGCTGTCACTCCCCAATACCCCCTCTCTCTCCCTGACCCCAAGCAAAATCACCATGAGCAGACATACACTCAGTAACTGGTCCCATGAAAGATACCTAAGAGTTTCAATTTCCTACTTTGATTTTCAAAAACCACATTAAGTTACTAATAGAACACATTCAAAATTCTAAGCACAGAAGACCAATTTTTAGAAAGGACAGGGAAATAAAGCCTGAACACTGATTTAAGCAGCTCTGTACACTGCCATTATTCCCTAGATCCCCAAATCCTTTTACATACCCTACATAGGTATCCCAAGATTTCTTACCTTAATAATAAAACTGATATAAAATGCAACTATTATGTGTAAATGGAACATAACAGTGCTGAAACTTGATTAATCAAGCTCATTTTATTCTTATTGTAATTCCAAGAGTGACAGTTTTCTTAATAAAATCACAAAGGTACAGCATTCCTAACAATGTCATTTGGAATTCAGTAATAAAGCACATCTAGGATGCCATCATCAAAGTAACTAAATTATTTAAGACCTGGGAAACTTCCCAACTATCCCTAAATAGAGAACTGGGCATATTATTAAAAACAGTATTTCAGTGGGTGAAGTGTCACTCACCTTGACAGTGGAGCCAGCGTAGAGCCTCTGAGCCAGCAACCTTCCCGCCTGGATGGCTACAGGGGTGAGCTCCGGCTTCCCCTCCAGAATATCGCCAATGGCATAAATGTAAGGCACATTGGTCTGCTCTTCATCCGTGACAGGTATTTTTCCGTTCCTGCAAATTGATCCCATTAAAAATCATCATTAATTACCATTATTAATTAAGTAGAAAAAAATCCCCTTTATCCCAAAGAAGCCCAAAATTATGACTCCAGCTGGGGACAATGTTCTAATGTATTACACCAAACAAAACAACTTTATTTATTTCAGAAGAAATAAAAGCTTAGAGACCATTCTCGCTAATATTCTGAAAAATAAAGGAATAAGAAAACTTGACAGAAACCCTGGAATGGAAAAACTGGAACATAGCGGTTAAGAATAAGAATTATAAACTGTAATAACCAGGTCTGTTAGTTATTACCTCTTTGATCTTGGGAGAGCTATTTACTATCTCTAAGCTTCATCCCCCCACATATACTAGTAAATGGGAATAATGATGATGGGAATAATAGTAGGAAGAAAAAGAACACCATCTCTATCTACCGTAAGGGATTGTGAGGATTGAATGTGAATGTGAATAAAGCATTCAGCACAATATTCCATGGCTCACAGTAAATACAGAATAACTATTAACGTTATATGAAATCTAAACCTCAGACCTAATTGGAAACAGGCTAGCAAGTTATGAAAAAAACGAAGAAAAAATAATCTTCACAGTAAGATTAGAAATCTCTTCTCCTGAATAGATGTGATTCCTGCAAGGATTAAGAGCTTGCCATTACTCCAAGGGAGCTTGCCGTTCACAGCAGGTGCTTCTATACTTGGATGTAAGAAAGGCGGTATTGGGAAATACCCCATGCTGCTCCCATAAGCAGATACCAGAGTCTCAATTATCTGGTGCAGGAGTACAGTCCAAAGGACTTTACCTTTTTTTTTAAAAGCCTTGTCAAAACAAGGCCACCAAAAATTCTGATTGCCTCCCCCTCAAAAAAATTGGGAGAGAGATGGAAGGACTTTAACTTCTAAAAGCCTTGAAGAAATGCGTTTTCATACCTGCAGCTGTCACTAGAAATGTAGTGACCACCTTAGTCCTAGTGACCTTAAAACCTGGTAGCTTTACACGTGGTTCAAATCTACATGCTGAGTGAAGCTAAAGCATATCCCTACAATTAACCGTGGATGGATCTTTTTCTGTACACATACACACTAAAGAAACAAAAAGCAAGCCAATATAGCTCTCAATTCGATTTTGAAAAGAAAAAACAGAAAATACTATGTATGAGTGGCGCTGGAAGACTTTTTCTGAACTTAAAAAGAGAACTCTTCAACTATGATAAAAATTAACTTTAAAAATCTAAAACTCCAGCAATAATCAATATTATAAGTACCTGAAATAGTATTCGATAAGATATAATAAAGGTTTTTTTCTTACTTTTCATTTATCTTTACACCCACGGCTTCTAAGCCAATTTTTCTTGTGCAAGCATCTCTTCCTATTGCCAGCAATACCTGAAAAAAAAAAAATTAACATATAGGTAGTGACTTATAACAAAAAGGCTCTGCATGAGTTATTTAATCATTATTTTTTCTGCTTATTAAGCCAACCTGATTTATACAGACCTGGTAAGAAATTTCATTAAGAAAATAATTCAAGAGTTAAAACAAATTACAACCTTAAAAAAAAAATCCTTCAAACATGATATAGCAGAAATCCTTATCCATTTCTTATTAAGAAAAAGGAAGTTAACAATTCCTCAATTAATCTAGACAAGATTAAAGACAAAGACAGCATAGCCTATGACTGAATTCAGTTATTTTAAACATTAAAAGTATTGGGCTGGATCAACCAAAGGACTTGTATGCATGCATATAAGCCTAACCAATGGCCACAGACACCAGGGGGGTAAGGGCATGAGTGAGGGGTCGGGGGGCAATGGGGAGATAAGGACACATACGTAATACCTTAATCAATAAAGAAAAAAAAGTGGTGGGCTGGGGAGTTAAAAGGGAAGAACATGGGACAGAGAAATTCTAGCTCATTTAAAAATGCTGATGCCCTTTTACAGCCATTTAACAAACAATATTTTAAGTTACAGTGGACAAATCTGAAATCTAAAATGAAGTATGAACCTGGATCTATATCTGTTCCTTACCGTATTGTACTCTCCTTCGATGATTTTGTCACTATTGGTGGACTTAGCTACCACCTTGAGTCGGCCTGGTGCCCCTGCTTCAATTTGTTCAACCTATAAAAGTGATAAGGTTTTACTCAACGATAAAGACATGTATCAAGTGGATAATTACTTTCTCCCTTTCTGTCTGGTTAACCCAACGTTAACACAAAATCTGGTTTGAAAGGTCTTTCATGTCCTATCTCCCTCACCCCAGCATCATTAGGATAATGTGATTCTCTTATTAATCCCTTTTCTCACTGCTTAATGTTTGCTAGTGGGGTTTTCTTTCACACAGTTCTTATGCAGAATTCAGAGAGAAAAGTGAAAGGGAAAGCCAGAGAAAGCAGACTACAATCCCTAAAATCAAACCAATGACTGTCTTGTAAGTCACCCAGAACCACTAATCCCCTGGAGTGCCACTGCTGCTCATATTCAGAGGTTCTCTTTTGACTACAGATGCTCAGCTCTATACAAAGAGCAGACATGAGGGTAGGACAATCATGATACAGATAACACCTAGAAAGCCCTAAAAACCATAGTGGGCAAGGAGGTGTGTCTGTTTGTCAGTTAAGGATGTAGGGAGGAAATGAGCAGTCCTGGTTCTTGTGCTATGATGAGACTGAACATACTAGCCTACTACACATAGATGTCCATGGTAACTTGGTGACAATGACTAAGAAACCCTACTACCTGGAGGCTTCTGCAAGTATGTAGTGAACCTCTGTTGCCTCTGAATGACAGCCAAATCATGGGTTTCTGTAAAATATTTACTGGGAGAAATCCATACACATAACCTGCAATGTCTACCCTCCCTTTAAAATACAACCGCTCTGTGTGGGAAAACTGTCACGATTGATTTTATTTTCAACATCTAATAGACAGTCAAGATTTCCTTCTTGAACTCCCTTGCTTTCTTACACAGTTAAGAAATGTCTTTCCCATTTAATTTAAGGTATAATGTTCTAATCTTTGGAGAAAAGTTGAACTGGTCCATGGCTTAGATTTGCTTAAAAATGATAAGGGCCTGACCCCACTTCTAATTCCTTTCTGCCTTACTCACTTTTCTGTTCCAGTCAGGCTTTCTCTGTATCTAGAACAATTTCTGCATTTAGAACAATTTTATTCCCAACAGCATTTTTGCTCATACTTTGTTCTTTGCCCAAAATGCCCTCTATCCCTCCTCTCTGCAGAGGCTTCTTCCACACAGTCTCTTTATAATGTAGCAAGCGTTCACACTAGCCTCTGGGGAATCAGACACCTGGTAACCTCAGCAAGATGTTATGTACACAGACACAGGTTTATTTCACCAGGGATAGTCCACCAGGTCCTCAAAGGGGCCCACAAGTCCCCAGATGTTATATAAAAAAAAAAGATGCTGCTTTCCTATCAGTATGGCATTACTGATAGCCGTTGTTTTCTAATCATATACCTCTACTCCCTAAAAAACAGCTACAGCAATAAGTACTGATAACCTTAGGACATTTGTTACTTAATCCTCGTTACAATATTATGAGATAGATTCATCTTAGACCTACTCTGAGCCAGAACCGTCTTTCTAACTGTAAGCTACTGCGATCTTCACAAGAACTGAGATAGGTGCTATTATCATCCCAATTTTATAAAACAAAACTGAAGCTCTGAGAGGTAAAGTAATTCCCCCAAAGTCATATGGCAAGAAACTGGCAGAACAGTATGAAATCCACGCCATTCTGACCTCAGTGCTCCATGTGCTATCAACACTATGAGATTCATGGTCACACAATGAAACTATGTTAACCCACGAAGCAATTTTTAAAATAACAGCTAAAATTCCTTAACTTTAACAAAACAGTTCCATCCTCACCTGCACTAAAGGAAACTATTAACCTGAGATTCACAAAGTGTTTGATTCTGTCACTCTTACATATCAAACATCTATGGTAATGTTAACAAGTCCCAATATAACTTGTCATATTGTTCGGCCCTTTCAAGAGAAGATGAAATGAACAAAAAAGGCCACCCCATATAACAAAAATAGGTAATTGTATTCAGGGAAGCCAGAATAGTATAGCACATCTATTGACTACACTGTACACCTAGGAGAAATGTCTTATGGGAAATTTTTTTTAAATCTGCCTAGTCTTGAACTCTTATTTAAATCACTGGTATTTATGAAGGAACAAAGTATAACAGACCAAAGATAATAAAGGAATGCATAAAGGGAAGTATTAAACAGAAGAGAACCAAAGGTAATGAAGAAATTATTATTCTGCAAATAAGAACAAAGCTATTTAGGCGGTAGGTAGGTACAAGTTTACATACCACTACCACACAATTGAGGAATTACAGTGCCCCTTATGGTTTATAATTCTGAGAGGATGCTTCTATCACCTATAGAAATCTATTTCCTAACTTTTAATATGTGTATAGAACCAACAAACTTATAGGCAACTCCACTTACCTTTATTGGTACAAATTGTTTTATAAACTTGACACCATGTTCTTGCATGTGTTCACCAATTTTGTTGGCCATGTCCTGGTCAAATCCTCTAAGGAGAATGGATCGTACCATAACAGTGACATCTAAACCAATGCCAGCAAGAAACCCAGCACATTCTAAAGCGACATAGGATGCTCCGACCACCAGGGTCTTGCCCGGGCAGTAAGATAAGGAGAAAAGATCATCACTGAAAAGAGATTTGTAAAAAAAAGGCAGAAATAAAAAAATGTTCATGGGAATAATGACCAAATCAAAGCAAATATTTTTACTTTCTTCTGAGCGAGACACCTTTAAGATGTAAAAATTTAATTAGCTACATACATAATATGAGAAGTTTTTATAAGGTCTTAGACTCTCCCTTTGTTGCCACCCAGTGGCTTGGGGAGTAGCTCAAGCTACTCTGGGGCCAAACACAGCAAACTATGTAACTTCTGACCACAGTCCAACTCACAGTCAAACAAACCGATTCTGAATTGTCTGGAACAATTCTTCACTACCGTGTTTAATATCCTACATTTGAAAATCTAAACCCTCATCCCACCACTCAGCTCTCCCTGAGGTGGAAAGTCTGGTACTTCTTATCTGGAATACCAATTATCAAGAGTGGGGAAAAACCCAACATACAGTTTTTGTATGTAAACGTCAATTATAAAAAGTAAAATCTGACAAAATCTTCTTGCTCAATGAAGAATACTGAATATATGAGTGAAATCACATAAGCATTAGAAAATAAATTTTTTAAATTTTGAGAAGGGAGCCTATTCAAATTAACAAAGACAACAGTTGCCATCAGAGCTGCCCCTATATGAAGCACAGAGGAAATAAATCATACCCCCCCCCCCCCGCCAGAAAAAAAAAAAAAGGCCTGAAAAAGAGTAATCTATAACACAATCAGATAGATACACTGGGGAAAAAGCATCCAAGAGGACATGTTTATCAACAATCTATGTTAATGTCTTGATAATTTAAAACATCTGAAAAACAATGTCACCAGTATTATCACTTGGACAAAAATAAATCACTTAGCAAAACCTTCTTACTTGACTCACTTATTTCGGAAGATTCATCTACACCGACACTGCAAACATTTGAACAGTGAATTGAACAGAGAATAGGGACCAGGCTTTGATAAATCTAAATGGTCTGCCATCCTCTCATTCTTTCAGTGTCACATTGCAAGTGTTAAAGGGTAAGGTAACATACGATCCTATATATATATACACATATGTATCATTTCACAAAATGTTTGTGAGTGTCCATCTGGTTTTATAAAATACATTCATAGAACATATTCACACATATATAAATTTCAATATAAGCACACATCTATATGTTAGTGATGTAAACTCTGGGTGGTAAGATGACCAATGTTTATAGTTTTTAATTTTTAAAATATTCTCATATCTAAAATAATTTTTCCTTTCTCTTTTTTCCCAAACCCCTGCCCCTTTGGGCAAAAATATGGTAAAAAAAATCCACTAAGTTCCAGGAAATGGACAAAATGGGTTTTAAGAATAAGGCAAAAGCATAAATCCACAATGGGTTTTTCTTTTCTCCCTGCGATTTTTTCCTTACCTGCTGATGCAGTATTCTCTGTCACCAGGGATGCCCAAGTAACGTGGCCTTTCACCGGTAGCAATGAGAAATCTCTCTGCTGAATAAATTTTTTCTTTGCCTTTGTTATTCGTTGTCTACAAAGGAACCAAAATGTCAGTTTTTAATAGTTCTCATGACGTAGAATTGTAATTTCACAGTTAACAAAAGCCATTCACCACATTGTCCAATTTGATCCTCATATAAATTTGGTAATACATAAGAGATATTTATTAAGGCTCTGAGCAATTAAGGGACTTGCTCAAGGTCACTATGCCAGTAAATGGCATAGCCACGACTCAAATCCAGATGGTGTGGCCCTGAATCTAGTTCTCTTACTCTCTCCAACACCACAGAAGAAAGCCCCACAAGGAGATGTGATGGCAAAATCACCACACTGGACACTCTGGGTCACAGTGCTATTACTTTCATTAGGACGATCCCCTTCTCCTTTCCTCCCTTACCTCCAACCAAAGCTTAACACAAACCAAAAGAAGCTACTTAGGCTGTCACACAATTACCTTAATCCTATGAGGCCCCACAAACTGCCCATATGCATTCTCATAGGTGACTTTCTTCTCCCGCAGAGCCACGCGGTAGCCCCAGTTCAGAGAGCCAATGTGATTCTGCACAGCTTCTGTCATTTTCCCCCAGTCATGTCCAACTGCACAAGGAAATAAGACAAAACATTTAGCCTTTCAACTGCCTGGCGAAGATCGTTTCTCAGTAACTATTCACATGGAATACAAAGAGCAGAGCTTTTAGTTGAAAAGGGCAAGTCCTTCATTTCAAGCCATAAACAACCTTTTAATCTTCAAATATTCTTTCCTTTTTAGAAAACTATCACAATACTAAACAATGCAAGGCTTCCTGGACATTCTTAAGACTAAAATAACCATTCTCAACTTTTTCTTCTTTATCTAGAAA